ACACACACACAAGGATCACACCATAAGTATTGGGGGATGTATGAAGTGGGCCCTATTTGATTCGGATTTGGATTTGGCCAAAATCAGGGACAGTGATTTGATTAATTGATTTGGATCACTGTCCCTGATTTGATTTGGCCAAATCTGAATCTGAAGATTCGATGCTGATTTGGAGAATCCGCAATTCAGACATAGACACAGCTTTAAATGTTTTTTTCTACATACCTTGAGGTACCAGCATGGCTTGTGAATGCTGCAATGCTGGGCCAGATGGAGCATCTCACAAGCGCGGGGGGGAGGGGCCTCCACGAGTTCAGCGATGAACCCAGAAGTGGACTGGAAGTACTTCTAGTCTACTTCCAGGTCCACCAGGGAGCACATGCCCCGCCCCCCCCCCTCCAAACCTAGGAGGCACCAGTAGCCACGCTAGGTGGGCATGTGGGGGGAAGGGTTTCCCAGCATGCTCCCCACCGGACCCAGAAGTGGACCAGAAGTGCTTCTGGTTCACTTCTAGGTCTGCTGCCAGGCATGCACGGAAGCCCGCTGAGCTCCTGTGGGATGCTCCATGTGCCCCATCATTGCAGTGTTCACAAATTGCCTGATACCTATGTAGCAAAACCCGCAGTTTTTCTTTTTGGTTTTCTTTTAAAATGCATTCCCTCCCCTTCCCCAACCATTTATGAATTTTTTTCTCCCTCTCTATTCCCTATAGATAAGTATAAGTGAGCTAAGACATAGGAAAAGTTTCAAAATTTTATTTTGGTAGCAGTTGTATTTGTTTTGTTTTTCCTCCTCCTTTATATTGTATAATTATTATGTTTATATTGATTTTTACTGTTCTATATTACTGTTTTACTGATCCTATATGATTTAGGCCTACATAGGTAAGTTAGCATAAGTCATGTTAAGTTTTCATTTTGTGTTTGTCAAGCCTCCATCTTTTCCCCATGCCCTGCTGTCTAACCTGTGACTCATACCTACCCCTCCTATGTAACTTGGTTCCTGAATGAATGTGGATGAATGAGGGTGCTTGAGAGACAATGGCAGTAGGTCTAAAAATAGCTCCCTCTGAATGATCGAACCATCAACACCAATACCTGGACCAAGGACCCAGCCCTTGGAACCACCCTTCGCATTCAAGAAACAAAAGATGAGGCAACCCACCATTGTGCCAAGGCTGCACATGCTCAGTAAGAACACCTGGAGCCCTCTGGAACAGGACTGACCTTGCCTGGACAGGCCTTCCCATAGGAGATCATAGGTAGTCTGCCCCATAAAAACGGGTAGAGAAGACTGACTCCTTGGGATGCCCTCCCCATCTGGACCAGCACCATGCCACACCACCTATCCACCCAGAGGCCCTGCTGGCGACCCCACTCTGGACAACACCTCCTGGACGAAGACCCCTTTCCACCCTGGATAGGTAGCTATCGCCCCTCACCCCCTCTTCAACCAAGGACTTGGACTCTGCTTCTCTTCCCTACCTGGGCTCCAGCCCTTCCACTGAGTCTCTTTCTCCTGCTGCCATTGTGAGTGCTTGGGGTAGGGGGCGGGAGGAGCGGGACACCAATAACTTAATGGGGCTGTGTAGTGTGTTGTCTGTTTAATAAACCTGTTATTTTGAAACCCTGAGTTGGCTTTTTGTCTGTTTCCTGACTGTTTCCTCCTTGCCAGCACTTATCTACCCCGCCAATCCCTCAGCTGTCTGCCTCAGTTTCCAGCCCCAAGCTTCCAGGTTTCTGCCTCAGTTTCTTTCCTGGCTGTCTCCTCCATGCCACTGGGCTTTTTCCATTGCACCAGTGACCTCAAGTAACCCTGGGGCCTCTTGACCTTAAGTAACCCCAAGCCTCAGTTCCTCAGCCAGCTTCTCTCTAGTCCACCAGTTCTAATCCCGGTTCTGGCAACTTTCACTCCCTACACTTTAACTCTCTCTCGCTCACCTAAACCTTCTCCCAGCTACCCCAAACACACACATACATACCGTACCATCCAAGTTAGGAACTTACCTGTGTGTATATGTAGGTGGGTTGTATGTGTGTGAACCAATGAGTGTATGTGTGTGTCATTGTGTGCATGATATACGAATTAGTGATCTGTGTATGTGTACTGAGTGTGCGGGTATGGACAATTGATTTTTGTCTAACTTTTGGGGTGTATAGTATATGTGCTTGAATTGGTGATAGGTATGCATGTGCCTAGGCTGGTTTGGACATGTATGTGCCTGAGTTGGTTGTGTGTGTGTGTGTGTATGCACCTAATTGATTTGTGTGTTTGTATATGTGCAATTGTGTCACATCCTCCTGTCTAACAGTGCAATATTGAGACCCTCAGAGTTGGCCTGACCCCACAGGGCAACACCTAGAGGTAGGTAGAAAAAATACCTAAGGGTGTGTCTATGTCTGAATTGCCGAATCTTTCTGCATCTTTCCAAATCAATTTGGAGGGTTCCAATTCAATTTGGAGAGAGTAAAGGGTCCTCTGATTCGATTTGGATTTGGAGATTCGGCCACTGAATCAGGCCAAATTTCCACCAAATCAAATCAGGGACTGAAGCTTCACACAGCCCTAATAGGTATTATGGATCTCCCTCAGCAGTCTTTTACGTCAGACCCTGTTCATAGTTCTGGCCCTTATCCCGCAAACACCAACATGCTTAACATTTTACAAAGGAGTAGTCCTTTTGAAGGTATAAAAGTAAGCACAGGCTTGGATTCACTAGTTTAAAGCCCTTTGATTCCTGCTTCCTGCTCTACTCAAACTGTAAAACAAACTGTCTGGGATGGGCAGTGGCATTTCTATTCAGGAAGTGCCGAGGCAATCAATTGACTTAATGGCTCATTACCTGATTCCTGCTAATAACTCTTCACTCCTCAGGTGCTAAAGGCATTCTCTGCTTTTTAATGGTCTTGGTGTTCCATTTATCAAGTTAGCCTTCCTTTTGCAATTTTGCTGTAAGCTGTTCCTGGTAATCTTTCTCTCCTATTTCACAGCTCTGCAGATTCTTTTGAGTTCAAGCTGAATACCTTAACTCAGGTCTGATAATATTAATGGAGGTGAGCATTAACCCAAGTGTAAAAATGACTGACAGTGAAGTAGTGGATGTATTGTAATGAGGCTCAGGAAGGCTATATTTTGTTTTAAAAATCTGAATAAGAGATGTACATTTAAATATAATGACTACAGGACTAATAAAACAGTATCTTTTGACAATTTTTGCTAAGTTTGTTGTGTATTTTTAATTTTATATACAATCTACCACAGCTGTATTCCAACAAAGTTTTATTTGCTCTTGATTTGAACTTAAACTGAATATTACAGAGCAGGACCCCTAGCATCTTCTAGTTTCTCTTTAACTGGAGAAAAATATGTTGCATTTTATGTAATGACGCACCATACCATCTGCATCCCACTTTTCAAAATCCTAGATCTGCCCATGCTAAAGCCCTTCTGCAATTATGTTCTTTCATGTTTCCTTTTATCTCCTTTTTCACTCTCAACATAAAGAAGGGTATAGGTACTGAAAGATCACATGCACATACCCAATTCCTTTCTACATTGTGCCAGATAATGACTGTCATGTGTATATACCTATGTACCATGAAAGACTGCTGAAAATAAGACAAGACTGAAAGACATGAAAATGAATTAAACAGTAACTAATAGTAAAGCCTCTCTCTAATAAAGCTTAAAAGAGGATTGAAATGATATGCGAATTTGAAGAAAAGGATGTTTATATCTGCCTGCTGTGTGTATTAACTGAAACATGCTATTTCAAGCATTAATGGTAGAAGTGATGCAACTAGTCTTTCCTTATACATATACTCCAGTGCTCACAATCTCA